CTTTGGGGAGGTCGTGCAAGAAAGGGTGCATGACCAGGGTCACGCGGTCTATCGTTGACTCCGAAGTCGCCAGGGCCTCGAAGTGGGAGCTGAAGCTTGGGACAGAAGGTTGGCCAGGCGGAGGCGTCAACGGAGGAACTGGAACGGGCGGGACTCGCCGCTCCTTCACCTGTGTGCGATGTGTGTAGCGAAGCACTTCGGGGTGTAAGGAGGGTCCGCCCCTCCCCTGAAGAACTGTCGCTGCTGTCGTCGACGCCCGTAGTAGGCGTTGGTACCGATCGAGGAGCTGCGACAGGTAGCCCCTCATAAGGGGAGTCCCAGCGCCCCCGCGACGTACGATGCGGATTCGCAGCGATGTTTCGCGGAGCTCTTCAACTTGCCGCTGGCGCAGGGCACGGCCCTCCGTCACGCACGCCACCCGCCAGGTTTCCAGAAGGTGGTCCCAGTTCGCTGGATCTGGCGTCACTCCATGTAGAGACCGGCGCAAAACTTCTTTCAGGCGGTCGCGGCTCGTCGGGTCCTGCAGGACGCGGGAGTCCAAGCGCCAGAAGCGTTGGTGCCCGGCCGAGGGAGCCAGACAGAGCTCCGCTAGCACTGGCCGGTGGTCTGAGATGTGACCGATGGCGGGTGGGAAGTTCACAGCCCCACAAGCTTGAACGGCTGAGGCCAGGGTCTCGGTGACGTAGACCCTGTCCAGGCGGCTGCTTGACCCACCACGTTGCCAGGTGTGCTCGAAAGTAGCACCGTGGAGGAGGGTCCAGCAGTCCACCAAGTCGAAATGTCCAATCAGCCGTCTCAATTCGCGGGCGTTCCATGTAGAGCGGCCGCACCCTGGTCCCCTGACGTCGCGCCGGGAGTCGACGACGCAGTTGAAATCTCCGAGTACCAGGCAGTGCCGTGCGTCGAGGAGGTGAACATCCAAGTTCTTGTAGAATGCCGTGGAGTGCGAGCGTTGTGCCGGGGCGTAAACACACACGGTGCGAAAACGGGCGGCGTCCAGAAAAAAATCGAATGTGATGAATCGGCCATCGGGGTCAAAGCAGCACGAGCTTTGCCGCATGAGCGCGCGATTAAAAATAATAATTCCTACCCCGGAGCTCCGGGTAGTAGCAAAGGAGAAGAAACAATCCACTGCATAACGTTGCTTGAAGAGGGTGACGTCGCGTTGCCTAACAAAATTTGTCTCCTGGAGAAAGAGAAAGTCGCAACCGACAGTCCGGGCAAGCTGGAGAACCTCCACTTGTTTGGTCGCACTGCGGAACCCCTGGACATTCAGGGTGAGGACCCGTAGCCGTGCGAAGAGGAGGAAAATGAGTCACCGGCACTTCGTTAATCCGAGGGTGTTCCGGACGATGGCTGGCTGCTGGGGCTTCCAGTGGGCGAAGGGGAGTCGTTCCGCGAGCGCTTGAGGCGAGCTGCTGCGGCCGGGATGCCTTGCGGGGTCGCGAACTCGTCGCTGCTGGAAAGGACACGCTTCCCTTCCTCAGCACCACCGTGTCGGCTGCGACTGCGGCTGCGAAGTCTCCGCGGTTCCAGGCTTGCGTTGCGGCGGCGTTCACGGTAACGCGGTCTTGAGCGGGTTTCCACTCCTTTCGCGGCGTCCCCGGCGGCGTCCCCGGCGGCATCCCCGGCGATCTCGTGGATGACGAGGCGTTCCTCGTCCGAGCCCTCCGTGAGGTCGCTCCAGTTGAGGCTCGGACTGGACTGAAATTCCGGCGCAGTCGGGGACTCAAGTTGTATCGGCTCTTCATCGGAGCTGGCGCTCGAGGGGAGTGGAACGCTAGGCTTAGCGTCGCTCAGAAATGTGGTTGCCGGCGCGTTCGAAAGTATGGCTTCTGGCGCGTTCGAATCTTCACCTGTGGCCATGGAGGTAGCCGGCGTGGGTTGCGGTGTCGCCGCACCAAGCTCAGGCGAGGTTGTCTCAGTGGGCTCGGACGGGGAGGGCACGGTAGACTCGGTGGGGCCGACGGCGGGTGTCGGGGCGGGTGCGTTCGACGCTGCAGGTGCGGAGGTGGCAGGGGGTCCATCCCGAGGGGTCGATGTCAGGGCCGGGAACTCGTCCGGGCTCTGGCCGGCCACGGAGGAGTAGGTGCGACGTTGGGTGCAGTCCACCGTCACGTGGGCCGCCCCGCAGCGTCCACAACCAGCCGCGCATCCGGCTGAGTCGTGGCCGAAAGCGGCGCAGCGGGTGCAGTAGGGCACATTGCAGGCCGCCTTGATGTGGCCGTCTCGCTGGCACCGTCGGCATACGCGTCGGAGGCCGCGGTAGTCAAAAGTTGCCCGATGCCCGGAGACGCGGAGGAAGTTCGGGACAGGCGTCGCCTCTTTCATCTCCATGCGAATGTAGCGCGTGCCCGTCCGCAGGGTCGGGTGGTCTTGATACACTCCAAAACGGATGTCCAGGACCTTCCCGTAAGGTGCGAGGGCAGCGGCGAGCGCTTCGCTCTTGACGTAGACCGGCAAGAAGAGGCATGGAATGGCTGTTACTTGCGGTCCGACGGGGACGATTGGAACGAGGGTTCCACCGATGCTCAGGGCGCCGGCGTTTACGATGCGGCTCATGGCCGACGACGAGGTGACGGACAATTGGAAGTTGGTTGCTCCCAGGTGTTGCACAGAAAACAATTCGGCGGTGCCGACAATGCCCGTGGCCGCGTCGAAGATAGAATCCACAGACGCGCCCGGCGGACGGGAGACATCGAAGGTCAAAGCCTTCGTTGGCTGGGGCGGGGACGCTGGGTGCATGACGCACCTGAAGCAACCCCGGCCAGAGACGACCGGTCCGGGGTTGCAGACGAAAAGATGCTACACGTCGAACGATACTACAGAGGCCGGTTCTCACATGCAGCGAAGCGCTGATGTAACGCTGCTCACGTGCCGTCAGGTACTTATCGTATGCCATGAGCAACAGTTTTGACGGTGCGATACAAAGCTGGTGAACGCTCCCGTCGGCACGTGCTTAGCACGAGGTCAGCGCTATGCTTGTAGCGCTCCGCTGCATGTGTGAACAGGCCTTTAGAAACTCGTCAGGAGGCACTACTCGTCACATGCTCGGTGGCTCGAAAGTTCAAAGCTATGTCTTTTCGACCTAAATAACTGTGCCATTGGTAAAAAATAATCAGTAAATAAACATAACAATAAACGCAAAAATAAAAAGCTGGAGAAACAAAAAAACTATCAAGAACTCGCCGGAAGTGTTGTATTCTTGTATATTCAGAGGCCCAGAACTATGAAAAAAGTTTCTTTTACCAAAATGTGTACAGGCCAAAAGAAACACATCCCAAGAACGTAAAATGAGAAGAAAAAAAAATCTCTTTTTTTTTTATGACGTGCTGAACTTGAACAATTTTAGAAATCTTCCCCCATGAGCTAATTTATTCCTCAAGTAAAAACAAAAAACAACAACATTATTTTGTATTTTGCAGATGGTAATGATATGTACTACCTCTGGTGTTAATTTAAATGCGATACCCCAAACAATGTAGGCGAAAACAATTACCAAGTTTAGGACATAATTGTCCGAAGGTACATGTTTGGATATTATTCGAAACTCGTCTTGAACAACAATAATCATATCTTAAGACGACACTCACCTAGGCTATATATAGATCATTCTTAAAAAGTTTAACATGTCTACCATAAATAGCTTCGTCTATAGCGCGCTTCAAATATGGCACAAACGACAATTGTCAAGAACCCGTCGTCCTTCCTCGCTCCTTCGGGAATCTATTTTTCTAAAACCAAGCATGCCAAATGATTAAAAGAAACGGCATTGTCTTTCGCAAGGAATGCGGCACCCCATGTAAAATTCAAAAAAAAAAAAATTACAAATGTACCTCACTGCTTGAATCCAAATGAAACCGCCCGCCGGTCTTTCGAAGTTCGACGAACTTCGAACTTTTACCCTAAATGTTCGAAGTTCGTCGAACTTATGACTTTTCAGGAATCGAGAGTTCGGCAATTTTCGAATCCTTTAAATTAATAAGTTTGAAAGTTCGAAAATTATTGAATTTCTTAGCGTAGGAAGTTCGAAAGTTCGAAAAGCTTCGACTTTTTAGTGCAAGAAGGTCGAAAGTTCGAAAATCATCAATTTTTTAGTCTCTCAAGTTCGAAAGCTCGACAAGCATTGAATTTTGCAGCGTAATAAGTTCGAAAATTTGAAAAGCATCGAACTTTTTAGTTTAATAGGTTCGAAAATTCGACTTCCGTCGAATTTCTCGATATGGAAAGTTCGAAAATTCGAAATCTTTCGAACCTTTCGACCGCTCTATTCGATCATCAAAACTTCGATTAGAAAAAAGTTCGCGGCATCTTTACTCTTTATAGTGTAAGGAGATTGCGTGCCCGGGTAAATCCTAAAAGGTTTCTGTATGCTAGATACTTTCGCGTTGTTGTTGTAGTGGTAGTGATGTATGCGTGGGACGATGCTTGTATCACGTATTGATTGGTTTCAGACGACTGCTGTAGTTTGATGAGCATGAATGCCAGGGGGGGGGGGGAGATGACAATAAGACAGCTATACGGGTAGCAGCTGATGGAGAGGACGAGATGAGGGCGCGCGGGGATATTAGAGTATACCGCGAGCTGTAATTGGAACATTGATTAATGATTAGGGATTGATGAGTTAGTGAACACAATGCTGGCTACCTTTTTCTTTATTCACTATTCGCACGCGTTCTAACAAAAATTAGAGACAAAGGCTTTAGGTCCACTAAGTATTCCAGCCAGAACTGGGAGCTCTGACGTCCCGCGCGCTCTCCCTCAGTCCCTGTCCGTATTCAGCGATGATGAAACAGGCAAGCTAACGCCAAAATAATTTTGCAATAGATCACTCACCTGCACGCGAGTGAATGAGCGTGAAGTTCACTTAAAGTCACGCAGGAAAACACCCATAACACGATGTATACAAGCATAGCCTATGGTACAAGCATGGTACATAAGGTAGGGTAAAAGCATGATGATTTATAAGCCTTCGTTCTTCGGTGTCACGTCTGTCGCAGGCGCATGTTCCCCGTGGTGCGTGTGTCCGTGAGCGGCCTGCACCCTCGCGCCATGTACAGCCTGGTGCTGGACTTCAGTCAGGTGGGCTCGCAGCGCTGGAAGTTCCTCAACGGCCGCTGGGCCAGCGCCAGCCGGGCCGAGCCGCCGCCGCGCCAGGGGCTCTTCGTGCACCCGGACTCGCCCAACTTCGGCGCCCACTGGACCAAGGCTCCGGTGTCCTTCTCCAAGGTCAAGCTCACCAACAAACCCACGTCCAGCCAGGGATTTGTGAGTGCCCGTACACCATCTGGTATTGCGTTCCGAAGCAAGCCGGTCTTAGTCAACTATAATAGAACGTTCAGAACGTATCGCATCCCCCTGAAACACATAAAAGCCAGCGGCTATCACCTCCCGGATAACACAACCGTAGAGCTATATTTTTTACGTCATCTACTGTAGGCCAGCAAGGGGCGCAGATTGCACATGACTGCTGTGTCAGCATTCGACTTGTACGTGTCTTCACTCTTTCGACACGAGTCGCAACCGAATATTGACCTAGCACTCGTTTGTGCTCCGCTCTGGCCTTCAGTTGATGACGTAGAAAATCCAGCACTACGAACTTCTTCGTCCGAGCATGCAGACTGAAAAGAAGCCAGCTAACTGGTCATCAATCGTATTTTCGGTGACTGTATACAGGTCGCGGTGCTGACTGGCGTGTTTCGTTTTTCTCCTACTGATGACTCTCCATCCACGCTTCTCTGGACCATCCTCAGGTGGTGCTCAACTCCTTGCACATGTACGAGCCCCGGGTGCACCTGGTGCGTGTGGATCAGCGGCGCATGTGCAGTTTCCCCCTTCGAGAGACCCGGTTCATTGCTGTCACCGCTTACCAAAACGAACAGGTGACGTGTCCCTCCCCCTCCCCTTCACCAAACCATACGCAACACACACACTTTGTAGGTTGCGCTACTACGGACGCGGGGACGTGGCTTCAGAAAGTGCTCTTCTTGCGAACGGTTGATAAACCTCCAAGTTATAATCAAATATCAAAGATCCCTATGCAGCCTTTTACGCCCTTAAAAAATTACAAAAAAAGACGAGTTAAATGTGTATTCCAGAGTATTTTTATCCCGTGAATCTGAATATCACGTTTGTTTTCCCCAGAGATGTAGCTAAACGCGAGAAAACACGGAAACCTCCGACCAATCGTTACGTCATACCCAGACCTTTCGGCTGCCAGCGCTTGTCGCTCGTGTGGGCAGCGCGTGCAGTTGCAAGCTTGCCAGGTGTGTTCCCCCGCACTGACACCAGTCGTGACATCTCTTTCTGACCTTTTTGAAAATAGCAAGAGTGTGCGCCCACAGCTTTGATAGGCGCGTACAGATAAGGTCGTAGTCGATTGGGATAGGAACAACTTAACAATAAACCTTCTATACTTCGTCTCACCCTACGATGGACTAAAGGCAGAAGCTACAAACCGCCAGATCCAATCACGAGCCACTTAGACATTGCGTGGTATTTCGCTTCGATGCACGTATCGGTGCCCGCGTCTCGGATCACTGATGGGAACGGGCGGACAGTGGTTCGGATCGAGCAATGAGTGACTCAACGATTTTACATTGCAAAGAAACCCACGACGTACTGGCTCTTTGCAGTGTCGAGGCTATAAAAATGACGCAGCGTTTTTGGATACGAAGCATTATTCGTCCAAAGCTAACCAATGCTACGCGTGTCATAGTATAGCGTGGAACGTGATTGGACCTGGCGGCCCGTGGCTTTGGCCTTTAGTCCATCGCAGGATGAGATGAAGTATAGTAGCCTTAAAACGGCTTTCGACGTTCGGCTAAGCCATCTGCTTCAGGACCTAGAGGACATTAAGTCTCTCGGCTTAATAGAACCGTGATGAAAGAGCTTAGATCGTGGTATTTGAAATATAATTTCTCAATTTATTTTACTGTCTGTTTAGGTTGTGATATGCTTTAAAGCGGTAGCCTTTAAGGCGCATGCTTTCCTCACTTTCAGACTACGAAGACGCGCGTGCTGGGTTGTGCTCTTGTCAACATTGGGATTGAGATTCTCGCACATAAAGGCCTTACCACACTAGCGGCAACGGCGCCGCCGGCCGGTGCCGCTGGGCGGCACTGCCGTCCGGCGTCCCAATGCGAGGAGGCTACATTGGCCTCCGTTTGGCGGGTGTTATTGATAAGTGGATTGCATGCACAGCACGAGAAACGCTAATATTGGCGAGGAACGCTTTCAGTACGATGATGCTGCATAGGGATCTTGGTGCGCCTGGTTCATGAAGGCCCTTTCAAAGCTTCGCAGATTTGAATGGCCATGGCAACGGAGTCCGATCAGCCTATCACCTTGCGAGCTTTGGTCGTCTGCATGTTAGTATCGGTTTGTGTCCGGCTAGCAGGCAGGGAAGGCAATGGCGCTACTTACCCAGGATCCAGTGACTTTAGGAGCAGCGATTCTCGTGTCATCGAAATGATATGGAGCTTCGCGTCGAAGATAGCTTGCACTGACACTATCTGATTCGCCACGCCGGTGGCTGAACTTCTGCGAGCGTTCCAGTCGCCGTACTGAATTAACAACATTAAAGTGGCATACAAAACTTGAAAGTATAAAACAGCGAGGACGAGGACGGGAATAGGACATCTTTCATTTAGCAACAACATAGAATGGACAACGATAAAACCGCCTCCCAAAGGTCTCAACGTTTTCAAAGAGGGAAATGAGATAATGGCTATAGACCCTTTCAGGCAACATTTCATGGGCGCCGCCATCTTGACGTCACGTGACCCTGCCGCCATAGCCGCCCTTCAGTTTCTCGCCGCTCCTCCGCGTTGTGTGCTGCACCGGCCACTACCGGAGCTTTGTTTTCACGTGCTTTTACGTTCCGCGTTGAAATTGCGTGTTTTCTTTAGGTCTTTTCGATATTTCGGGCTTTCATTTAATCATTTGATATCTATATTTCAACATTAGCTCTTGTATTTTCTTATTTATGAAATGGAATGGGACAGCGAATGGATCGACGATACTAGATTATGGCTTCAGAGACCATGTAAGTTCCTCCCATTCTAACGCTTTTCTGGCTAATAAAGGGCAGTCAACACCATTGCGGCATATGCAAATTTGAACTGACTATCCAGTCGTGCTTCTCGCTGCATGTGCGCGCTCGTTTCCGTAAAGCCGACCCGCATGTAAGCGAGTTAGCGTGCGACGGGACGAGCGACGGCGACAACGATGAGAGTCAGCGACGAAGATTTCTCACTGCCGCCTGTTGCATCGCTCGGTTTTTTGGGTTTCCAGAAAACGTCGCTCACCGTCTTGGTCGCTTGCTCCCGTCGCTTCCATGCGATTTGCCTCGTCGCGCGACTGCCCGAGCGACAGCGAAGCGGGTCACCGTCGCTTGTCTCGTTGCTCGCCGAATCGCTTGCATGCGGTTTATACTTAATATCGAGGCGCCAATGGTTCAATGGTGTGTGCATAGAAATTAATTGAGTATAAACCGCATGTAAGCGATTTGGCGAGCGACCAGAAAAGCGACGGCGACCCGCTTCGCTCTCGCTCAGTCAGTCGCGCGACGAGGCAAACTGCATGGAAGCGACGGAGCAAGCGACCAAGACGGTGAGCGACGTTTTCTAGAAATCCAAAACCGAGCGATGCGACGGGCGACGGTGAGAAATCTCCGTCGCTCGTCTCGTCACGCTCTAAATCCCTTACATGCGGGTCGGCTTTACGTAAACGAGCGCGCACATGCATCGAGAAGCACGACTGTCATAGCCTTACTGCTCAGCTGCAATTTACAGATGTCGCAATAGTGTTGACTGCCCTTTATTAGCCACAAAAACGTAAGAATGGGATGAACTTACATGGTCATTGAAGCCTCATAATCTTGTATCGTCGACCCATTCGCTGTCCGATTCCATTTCATAAAAAAGAAAATACAAGAGCTATGTCGAAATATAAATATCAAATGATTAAATGAATGTCCTAAATATCGAAAAGGCCTAAAGAAAATACAAAATTTTAACGCGCAACGTGAAAGAACACGAAAACGAAGCTACGGTAGTGGCCTGTGCAGCACACAACGCGGAGCAACGGCGAGAAACTGAAGGTCGGCTATGGCGGCCCGGAAAGCGCGCGAAGGGCGCGCCGACTGGTGGCAGCTCGAGTAACTGACTCGCTGAAAGCGTCTATAAAGGAAAGGGAATACACTAAATATAAAAGTTTGAAAAGTGCTGGCGTCACGACGAGGTATTACTAATCTCTTTATCTCTGATTACTTAGAATTAGACCTTTGTCATTGACAGTGATAATGAAGGTGCAGAATTATTGTTGTTTGCAGTCCCAAAGGTAAATGTATTATAAATATAAAAGTTTAAAAAGCTGTAGTGTCACGACGTAGTGTCAGTAATCTAGTCATCTCTGGTGTTAAGAATTCGAGCTCTGTCTTTGTCAATGATAATGAAGGTGCAGAAATGTTGTTTACAGTCCCTATCGCAAATGATTCAATGATTTCTCTCCCAAATCTGTTGTGCCCGCCCAGTATTCTAGTATCTTGTATCTATTAACCAACACGCTCGTTTTCAATTGTAAAGTAGTGTACTTCAAAGCAAGTGATAAGTAGGTCTGCAAACTGACGTCACGTGCAACTGGTGTTCACGTTTCATTTCATCCCGCCGACGTCAAGTCAGAACCGTGTTCACAGAATGCTGCACCCCCAGAAGTCAGCTCTGGAGTTCGCATGTTGTTCCCGCCGCCCAGGTGACGGCCTTAAAGGTTCGGCACAACCCGTTCGCCAAGGCCTTCCTGGACAGCAAGGAGCGTACAGGCTGTGAGCATCCACTCTCGCTGTGGACCCCCCAGGCGCTCAAGGAGCCAGGGGTCCCCGACACGCTCCGGGGGACGAGGCGTCCCTGCAGGCCCTGGCTCGAGCAGCCACGGACAGACGCGTGCCGCGGCACGCCGTACTCCCGGCTGCAACCACCCAGACACGCCACCTGCTCAGGTGGGACGCCTGAGCGCATCCAGAGTCGCCTGCAGCCCTCTTGTGCCATGCCGGGCTAGAGAAACACCACCTAGAAGACAAGGCCTGCGCATGATGTCATCACTAGTGGATCCCGCTCCAAAAACATGGCCTCGACGAGAGTCGCCGGTTTGTGGCAGACGTTGTCCGTCGTGGCGTCGCCGCGTGATAGCGTAGCGCACGTTGTGAAACATATGCAAGACGTGCTGGCGGCGATGCTTACGCCAGCTTGCTGTTTTGATCCACTAGCGATGACGTTTGGTGGGGCGCAGGCGTAGTCTTCTACGTGGCATTGGCTACAGTCATGGTGGTAAGAATAAGAGGAGGCAACATGATGATAGTGCAATTCATCCAAAGGTGCAAGCGATCTGGACAAGAATAACGATAATATTCCCTTGAGAAGGTGAACAAGAAGGACAAAGGACAAACAAAAATGTCCGACTGGAATGGAATGACTGGTGCGCGACTGAAAAAATCCCGTCTGGTCCTGGTATTGAACCAGGGACCTCTCCATTTCCAGTGGAGCGCTCTACCGACTGAGTTAACCAGGAGTTAAACGTCGCAGCGCGCCGTGACATCCGCTTGTCCGCCGAAACGGACCTAGCTCTGTTTGGAAATTTCCGTTTGTCCTTTGTCCCCCTTGTTCCCCTTCTCCAGGGATTAATATTGAGGCGACATACGGGCTCAAGCCAGCCAAACGAGAATATCCCAAGTGAAGCCAGAACTAGAGGTCGCGGTCTGTGGGAACGCCCCTAAGGGGGTGGCTTTAATCAACGTCGGGGGCGTGCCCCTCCAAACGAAAAGTCTCCGCCGGCTTTATTTCTGGTGGCGGCATGTCCATTCCAGAAGCTTCCTACCTCCATGGCTACACTCCTCGCATGAGGGTTTGTTTTTCTCTCCTGTCGCAGGTGGATGGGATCGCTGTGAGCCTACCCTTTTCTGACTCTTTCTACAACGCTTTAACTCCTTCTCAAGAAGCACTCTAACTTCTCCGTGTTGGTCTCCACGCTCAGAGATCGACATATTTCCAGACTAGTTATGGTCATAGGTCATGAGTCATGACTCACGAAGTTAGACTATTAAACCGTGCGCGCCTATTGACACAGTCAAAGTTTTGAAATGGAATGCACTGGCCTCCATTGTTTCCAGGCCAACAGGCCAAAGGCATGCGTAAATAAAAACAATTACCCCCCTCCACACACACACACACACATTTCTGAGTGGCATGCCTTGACGAGATGGCTCACATTTGCGGAGCAGGATTGGCCCATAGCGACTCAATGGGCGTTCGGAATTCCTCCTGCTTCATGTATGCATGATCAAGAAATGACGGCGTTCACATCGCGTCTTGCATCTCGTGAGTGTCACCGATCGGTCTTTCGTATTATATAAAAGATTACGAGCGGCATGTTTGTTCTGATTGGCCATTAGTTTGCTCTTCATTCATCCACGGAAAGCGTCAGAGTATGTTGGTGGACCGCTTAAATAAATTATGCCCACTTATGCCCGTGTCCCACTAGAACGACAGACAGAGACAAAAGACAGCGACAAGCCTCAAACCCATGCAGCATGCTCGCGATGGTACCTTTGGCAGGCGTTTAGTCGTTCGGTGCTCGTGAAGTAAGCACGAGCGATTGCAAGCCTGCCAAAGATACCCTCGCGTGCATAACGCTCGTGTTTGTGCATAGCCTCCTTTATTCTACAAAGCCTCTCAAATTGCAAAAGACTCTGGTTTGAGGCTTGTCGTTGTCTTTTGTTTCTGTATGTCGCTCTAGTGGGACACGGGCATTATGGTCGATCTGAAAATACTGCAAAGCTCAAACAACACCATAAAAGTGGCAAGTCTATCAATTGCATACACTCTTCAAATCGAGTACCATATTAGTGATGGACTTGTCAGCTTGCTGGTGTTTTTTGCGCACAACACTTTGCAAGTATTTTCAGATCGACCGTAAAAGGGTGCCATTTTCGAAAGGGTCTATAAAGGCACATCGGAGCGAATTTGTAGGCCGAGTGTGTTCGCACTGCAGCTCGGAGCACGGCCTTGCGACCCAGAGTACAGTATATCCAGGGATCCTGGGATCTCTTTTGATATCCCAAACCGCTCCCTTTTCGATCGGGATGGGCATCGTACCGGCGTGCGGTCATGTAACACTAGTGCGGGGTTCACGTTGAAGACCCTAGGCTAGCAGTTGTACCGCACTGGCTAAATTGCTAATCTACAGCCGAGACACCAGACGCGCATTGAGGCTGACTAACTTTCGGCTGTCCTAACGTACACATAACACAGTTACTGTTTTGTAAGGGATGGTAAGAACAAAGACAACCGGTAGCCACAGATCAACGCGGAGGAGCGCGCACGTCAAAAGTGGATTGGTTTATTTTACTCCTTAAAATTTCGCGTTCGGTGATATTCTTAATTAACACACGTTTAATGTTACGTGGTCATATGAATTACGTTTTATGAGTCATTAGTGTTGTTAATAAAGGTGCGCCGGACGCGACCTATTACTCCTGAAATAATGCCAAGTTGTTTTTTTTCCTCATCGCACGTTTTTTCAAAGAAAAGGGTCAGAAAAGCAGCCCAAACAAGGCTCCCTTTCTCTTTCTGAGTAGCTTAAAGTGACATTGACACCTCCCAGAAATTCATTTGTATTTTTTGACAGGTGATTTAATATGGTTTCAGAAGACTACCCAATTCATATTTTGATACAGAGTCGTGTATAGTTCTAATTAAAAAAAAAAAAGAAAAAAGAACAACGTGAAAGCCGTTTACAATTCCCGGTAACACCGAATGAGAGCGCAGCTCTTGAGGAGCAGTAGGGAAGGGTATTGAGGGGGGGGGGGGGGGGGGGTCACGTGACCCCTCCCCTTCCCCGAGGTCACCGAAGGTACCCGAGGTCCTCCCGAAGGAACCCGAGGTCCTCCCGAGGTCCTCGGGGGGGAGTCGCGGTTACGCGGACGCCGACGCCGCTCAAGTCGGAAACGGGCGCCTAAGAGCTGCGCTCTAAAGAAGAAAAAAAAAACGCAACTACTCGAAACCGAAACCGAAACACGAGCACGGAGTAATGGCGCGACATGTCAACAGGAGAGGAGAGAGTTGCCGTTAGTCACGTGGCTACACCCGACCGCGTTTTTTTTTTTCCTCCTGTCTTTTGGTCGTGCGAAGCAGGCTGAAGTTTTAACATCGTAGTAGTCAAGCACACGAGAAAGAACTCCTCGTTCGCAGTAATGCAGCCAGTCGACTGTAGGTCAGAAAGTTTGCTGCGAAATCCCTGCTGCAAAAGCACTCCCGGGCCACATTCGCACCTAGTAAAGAAATCTTACGCATACATATTCAACACCAAGTACGCACTTCGTGCTTGACGCTTGCGCGTGTTTCAAGCTTTTACCAATCAGCGTTCGTAAGAAGAGCGATGCCTTCAGCCAGGAGAAGGGGCGACGACTCGGCGTCGTCCTCGTGCAAATCAGCTTGGTGGTCGGGCGTGTCGTGCAGAATACACTTAAATCTTTGTATCGGTAAAAAAAAAATTTTTTTTCTTCCGCGAGCGAAAGTTCTAAAGCAGAGGTCCCACGCCCGTCGTGAGCTGCCTTTGCCTTTGCGCGTTTCACATACTGTGGTTCAGCATCGCTGCAGTAGCTTACGGCGCCGCGGAACAAATCGCAGGTTTCATTTCACATTCGTCGTCCGCGAGCTTTTTCTGCCGCTGCGGTGCCCAACATTGCTTGCAGCAAGCGGACGTGCGCAATGAATTTTAGCGGTCTCCACCAACAATTTGAATACCTTATATTGCCGTTTTATTTTTATTCTTGCTTTATTCAAACAAAACAACAATTTAAAACGCAAAAAAAAATCGGTTTTATTTGTTTATTTGTTTTTGAAAGTTTGCTGTCGCGGAGGGTGAAACCTCGGTTGGAAAGTTGGAAAGACTTTACAACAAATATGGCCACCTCTATGGGGATATCTGTTCATAAGGAGGCGAAACACGACGACACAAGAAACTCTCAAACACACGCACACACACAAAAAAAAAAAGGGAAGATGAAAGCGGAACTTCACTTTGCAAGCACAGTGTAAAGGCCAACGGTGTCGGGAGTTTAGTGGGGGCAGGGGGTGCAACCGGTCCCAAACCAGGATAGGCCCGAACATTTCAGACATTCCTTGCAAAATATTTGGAGGGAGGGGAGAACATTTCCCTGCTCAATTTCCCGAACAGTTCCGACGCGACCAGCGAAGCAAAAAAGAAGCTGTACGCACCAATGGCAGCGAGGACAGGAAACAGCAAACCAGTCGCTTGCGCACTTTCTCTGCATGTCGTCTGCTTGAAAGACGTGAGAACGCCATCCTATGCGCGAGCTTTCCCGCCATGCTTTTCCTCTTGTTACGTTGTTCTCCGCCGCGCTGTGAATGGCCAATGGAGATACTGCCGCTGGCCAGAAGCGCCGTGGTGGCGGGAATCGCTCCGCTCTGGGAGCAAAATCGCTGCCTTTGAAACGCCGTTTCGTCCAGGCGTCTAGCCTGCAGCAACTCCGGCACTGCTCTTGCGATACGATGCCATGTTGAGAATTACGCTGTACACGCGCTTCCGGCACTCTGCAACTTTTACAGCGGAGCTGTTAGGGGCTAGTTTCCGCAATATCGTGTCCGACAGCGAACAAATGAGATGGCGGCAACCTTATGAGCCTTTCCACCCTGGCCTGCCTAAAGCCCCTCGATGTGTTTGCGGTTGTCTTGCAAGTAGCGTCAAATGCGCGAGTGCACGAGGCCCTTGTCTCGAGCGGCCCTTGGAAGCAAATGGCGGCGCAGCACTGAAATGAGCGGGCCTTGGAAGCGAATGGCGGCGGAGCACCCGCTCATGGCACGTGTCTCGCGCGCTTCTACAACAATGGTTGGCGGTACTTGTAAAAAAACGCTTTTATCAAGGGGCTTTAGGCCTGCCGACTTGCGGTCAGCAAGCCAGGCTGGAAGTTCTTTTTTGTTAATATTATTAACGTATTTGCGGCTTTTTAGAAGAAAAAAAAAAAGGGTTACATATTTTCTTGTATTTTAAATATTATCTGTGCGCCTTCGATGACCTACAACTTTGATAATAGTTGGTGATTGTCTTTGAACGGCACGTGACCGCAGTGAAGACAGTAGACAGTTTTATTGTACCGTACGCTATAGCTTTGCGTACGCAAGGAGATTGCGGGTCGTGAGTGCGCATGCGCAGAACGCAATAGAAGGGCTAGCGTATTGCGTACGCACGCAACGCTGGGGATTTTGCGTTGCTGGCTAGCGGGCCTTGCGGGACGCTCTCGAGAGATCTCGGACCCAACGAGAGCGCCAGTTTCAAGATGGCGGTTGCCTCGACTGGCGCAGCAAGGGCGACGTGGTGTTTTCCAAGTTCTGTGTTACGTGAAATTGCGTGGTGTTCAGCTCGGCGATTCTTTCTGGGACCTATCGCGGTCGAATCAGATCGCCCTGCAGCTGAAGGAGTGCACAGTGGAAATGTTCGCCGCTCGCAGTATGCGTCGACGCTGCGATCTGCTCAACGCTAAGCCTATTCCCACAGTTCATCGCCGACGGACGAGCGACTCTAAAAGAAATCGCCGAAGTTCTCGCTATGCACTGTACATCAGGGTCATGAATTTCATTCCGCGATAGCATTGGTAAAAGGTGAAGTTTCCACGGGACGACTGACGGAGGCTCCGCGATCGAATTTGGCTACGCACTCGTACTCGTAGCCTCTGTGCCCCGCAGAAAAGCGCGCTTGACGAGGCAGCAGTGACTTAATTGGTTTAATCTGAAATAAAATGATTAGACACTTTTTCTTTTTCAATATTTCTTTCCAGGAGCATGGTTGCGCATAAGCAAGTGGAATTCTACGGCTCTAGCGAATGGAACCAAGATCATGCGCGGTGTTCACTCGAAAACGTAACGCACAACTAAATCCGGTCCGAGCAGGTCATTTTTAGCGTACGCTATACTATTGCGTATTGCGTACGTAAGATCCAGCAACGCTATACTAAAACTGTCTAGTGAGCACGACTCAAACCAGACAGTTCTCGATCGGCGGTTTTCGAGAGGAAAAAAAAAAAATCGAAATTTGAGCCGAAAATTGTGTTTTGGAGAGCTAAGCTCCCGTCATCTACAAAAAAAAAAAAAAAAAAAAAAAACCCTTGTATAGCGTTAATATTCTGTCCCTTTAAGGAACGCATACCTTTTTGCAACCGACACCGCATGGTGATGCCGATCACCTTTCTCGCCAATTAATAGTTTTTGCGTTTCGACAGCAATACTACCTGCCCCTGCGCGGAAGGCCTTGGCTTTTGCATCGTATACGTTATCGGGTGGCATTACTGTTGGAGTACAGGAAGACACCTACTAAATATTCCTAATGATCGCTGTTCGACTACACCGGGAACTGTTAAGTGAAGTAATTCGTTTCGCGGAAGTTTATAAATGGCGGGAAACGTTAACCGCGGCCCCAAAAGACGTCTTATGTCTCCGCCGTAGACGAGAAATTTAGCCAGTGCTAGCCCAAGACCTCTAGCCCGGGATTTTTAACGCGCTTCGCGCAGTAGTGATAAACAAACGCGCAGAGTGATACGTGCACTGCACAACACGTCTACAACGTGGATGACCAATACGGAAGGCGTATATACAGGAGAACGCGGCGGCATCGGGAGGGTTCCGCGGCGCGGAGCCACGCGGAACCACTTTTGTCCAACGTCTACGAGTTGCGTCTAGTCCCGAGCTGGAGCATATGAAGAGGGCCTTGTCGGAAGCCGCTCTTGGTCGGATGCCGCCTTGGAGTGGTGGGCGCTGTTGTGTCGGCGGGGGACGCTGCCGAGATCAGAGGCGCCGCGCCGGGCCGCGGACGCTGAAGCGGCTTGTTTGCGCTGCCTAAACACGCGCCTTGAAGAGGAAAAGAGAAGCCGCTCCCCAAGGTGGCCCTGTTCGAGATCTGTGTGCACAGGCGGGCCCGGTTGCGCCGCCGCCGTACACCAGGTATTATACACCACGGGGATCTCGGCGCCCTGCCGCGGTAGCGTACGGTGCTTGCTGCGTTCGAAACTGCGCCAACTGCGCGACGAGTGCGGCGGGGCGGACGCGGTGCTCCACCCAACGCCGTCACCTGTGACTGTTGGTGACGTCAGGGTATGCTTGCGTGGCGGTGGAAGCAGCAGCAGCGCCTCGAAGCGGTGCAAGTATGGGACAGAGACGTGAGCGGGGTTTATGCGGAGATACTGCGCCTCCGGGAGTTTGGGGAGCTTGAAAAATGCGTGTGAGAGGGTATCGACGCTCTTATCCGATGAACCCTCGCGAGCAGTTTGATATTTGGTGTGTCTGCAGTAAAAAATTGGATATATTTGCGTTTTTTTTGACAAACGTCAATAAGATGCTGTCTAGATCAGAATATACAAAGAAACAGGATATCTGCTCCGTTGTTTTATTCTTCGCAACAATTATTCAGCGCCGTCTGCAAAACTCAAAACTCACCTCAACGTAAAAAAAAAGAAACTGGCGAGAGAAGAGTGCGTATTTTTAAGCCCAATAAGTAGCACCATGCATGCACTTATTGAAAAAAAAAACTTTTTTGCCGTAATTAATACTACCTGACGCGATTGAGCTTAATATTCCTAAAGAACCAATACACCATTTTCACATTTTCTTTAGATACTGCTAGGACATGAAACATCGCAGAAGCTTTCACTTCCAATTTGCGAGCCTCATCGGCTGTGGTGTTTTGCGACCGGGAATACCACCAATTCAACCGCAAAAGGAAAACAAAAAAACTGGTATGTTATATATATATATATATATATATATATATATATATATATATATATATATATATATACCGCTTATATATTTTGTAATTTCTCAACGGAAATCAAATGTCTGCCATGATACATTTACGTTCTCGAAGAGGAGGCTTTGGTTTTGGTTATATGTAGTTCCTAAAACGCCAACCCGAAAACATATTATGGTTACTTTAATAGTTGGCACCTTGCGGTTTATTAATCAAATTGCATTCTTTAATCAATGTCCTCAGGCCGAGCTCTCAGCGCTCCCGTAGCCGACAGTCTGCAAGACCCAGTAGTGAGTCCCGACAGCCCGCCATCCGACAACAAGCCAGACCTGGGCACCGACCTGCAGAACCAGTTCCCTCTCTCCTGGCGCCAGCGCCAAGACCGAACCCAGGGAACGTCGTGCAGCCACCCGTGGACGCCTCCGAGCGTGCCGAATCCTCCCGAAATCCATAGCCCCGATGGCGCGGTCGCAGCTAGGCCAGAGTTACCAGGACCTGTGCATCAGCAGCAGCAGCAGCAGCAGCAGCAGCACCAGGAGGCGGCGGTGCTGCGCAGACACTTCAGCCACGCGTTTCCTTACATCCCAAGCAACGGAGGCTTCTCGGCCGTAGCGTCGGTCGTGAGCATCAGGGAGGAGTGCTGCAGGCCGTGCGAACTCGTCAAGGACATCGGGGATGGCTACGGTAACTGTGTGTCTCCAGTGGCCTCGATGGCGACATCTCCCGACGGAAATCGCTGGAGCCCTCCGACACCGCCGTCGTGACATACACATCTATTGTGGAAATGTGTGGCTCGTGTTTACGCTTCTTAGATTCTAATACCTCCACGTTGTACGTACAAAAAAAAATAGTTATAAGGAGAATGTTAAAAGAGTGGGTGCTTGTTGCACCAATTTCGGAGAGAAACTTGGTGCACCCACAACAAAATGGCAAAGAGACCAGTGCTCGTCTCAAATTCCCGCATCGCGATTCACTCCGAGCAAGAGAATTGGCCTTGCCTTGATCGGCTTGGCCACTGACAAGAGCGATTGGTATCAGACGAGATGGCAATGCAGCTGACAGAAAGAGTGAACGCTTCTTTTTTTTTTCTTTTGCCATTGACACTGCGTGATTTTTGGGGCGCGAATTTCTCACCATTCTTATTGGCTAGACCGATTAAAAGATGAGTCAATTATTGGTATTCCGTGTGCATTGTGGGACAGGAAAATACATGCAGCAACTTCTGAGAGCGCACAATCAAAACAAAAATAAGGGGCAGGGTCTGAGTTATGATTTCGTCACAGCTAGATTATTCTAATTGTAACATCTTCAGCTGCATGTGACAAATATTGTTTTGAAGGTCCGCACCATAGTTGTTTTTAACAGTGTACATTATAATTGGAGATTGTTAACTCGCAGTTGAAGTTTGTCGGTGAGAATTTATCGGTACTGGGCCATAGGATGTGACACTGAAAAGGTCAGACATACCAACAGTGTCTCTGTCTTAGTGTAGTATAGACTTGTACAAGATTTTCTGCGGTCTAACTATTTCCTCTGCGTTTATTTTTTGTTGCATGTAAGTGGCTCTTGACAAGATGCCTGTGTGACGATGACAATATGCATTTAAAGCATACACCACGATTTCTAACGATCTGACGTGGTATCATCGGAGTGGGGCAAGTTTCCCTGGAACGAGTTCAAACTGCTCATGCGTGACGCGATTATTACCTGAGAAAATAATAAGTTCGAACACTTAACTGCAATAAAACGCGCATCTAAGAATACGCTATAGTAACTCGCAGATCAGGAAATTGTGGCCGCCCCTGATTTTAGCGTTGTTCACTGCATCTCGACTGGGTGCCTTTTTTTTTCTTCTTCGTATTAATTGATGCTAATAAAGGCTTTGGAGAAGCTTCTCTGTTTTTTTAAGTATTTTCTTCCAAATAACCCTTTCAGAATTCACAGAGCGACATTGTTTTATGCAATTCAGTTCCCCGAATGTGCTATTCCCATATCTTTTCTGCTTGTTTTATTTACTTGATTGCAAACAGATATCCACTTCGCAAAAAGACAAGAACGTACCGACAAGAAATCACAATTGTCACCTCATCTTTTTTTTTTTTTTTTTTTTGACACGTAGTTTTTTGTGTTGGGCGAATGGGGGGGTATTACGAGGTTTGATTGATAAAGGAAAAACGATAGTTCTTGTGTTTGATCTTAAATTCATATATGGGAAATTAGCAGCGCTTCGTGAAGACCCGAACTTTTTTATTTATTTTTATTACGATTCTTGAGATGAAAACTAGTATAGCATTTTTAGGCTTCTTCGAACCAGCGGACGTTTCATCTCGTTCCGCAACACGTTGTTTAGTGTAGTTTGGTAGTGATAGTTTGGTGGGAGCTTAATTAACTTTGCCAACAAATGTTGAGCAAGACTCACATTCTCCTGGCAGGACTTAATTTCCAGACCCTTTGAGCTTGAGGTGCTTGACCGTTTGTTGAATGGCCAAAGTGCAGCTTCTCCCTCTTCGTGAGTTTATTTCTTGGTGTATTGTAGCCCTACAGTTAATCCAACTCAAGATATATCTTCGAACTTTTGTGGTGGATTCTAGCGAAACCTTAAGGCCCAGTCACACTGAGGCAACAGTCGGACTACTCTGTCCGGCAACAATTTGAAATGCTGTTGCCGGCGACCCTCTCACATCGCGGCAACAACAACAGCGGGACAACATGTTGTGTTCGCCCGCACCGTGTTCGTCGATTTGCTGTCCGACCGCGCTGACGGCGGGGACAACACGGGGAACACTCCGCCATCTTGATTGTTTACCTTCGTTCATGTGCGTCGCGGCGTCGCTGGAAATCGGTCTCTACAAAGTGCTAGTGCGTTCGAACTTCGAAGGGCCGGGCATTACCACGGGACGACATCAACCACTGACTGTGATTAGAAAACTTGACACGTGTAGTATTTTCCACCTTTTTTTTTTTATCAAAATCTTTATTTGTTGACAAAGCAGATACCCTTACAGAAGAAAGTGAAATCGCCGATATGTTTTCGGGATTTACGCCACCGTTTGAATTGTTTCTGTCCGGTTCTTTCAATTCCGATTTCTACTGTAAAATTAAGTTAGCACCGGCACAACACCAAAACGTCTTTTGTACCGCGGTGTTGAGGTGAACTGACAGTGCTTAAAAACTCCGACAATCTGCGTAACAAATCTTTTTCAACGCTGTCTATTTGCCTACCTCCTGGCACCTGCTATGTGATCGCTTCATTCCCCAAAACGTCCTGGGTATTTTTTTAAACAATTCAGGTGTCTGGTAGCGGTTGTTCTGGTTTAGTTTTTATTACAATTTATCAGCGGGTTAGTAGGCATGCCATTTTATTTTACTAGAGGTAATTTGAGCTGGTCGCTCGGCAGTTATAATTTCAACACCAGTCTGAGCGTTCACGACCGTAGCTGTGACCATTTAGACAATCGCTTTCCATAATTATGCTGTAAAATCATTTATCAAATTATTTTAGCTGCACGCGAGCCTTACTTATTGTTGAATAACGTTTCCCAAGCCTTTATTTGAGTAAGACGTAGTTAATAGGGAACTAGCTCTGCCATTGAAGCTATTTGTGTTGTCGTGTTTCCGGCCCGAAATTCGCTCAGCCAGTGATCAGAACAACATATACGTTGTCCAACACAAGTTGCTGCTGCTTTCGTTGCCGAAAGCTCTCATACCGAGGAAACATTTTCATTGTCGTCTATGTTGTGCTGCTTTTGCCGCAATGTGGCAGGTTTGTCGGGCAACACGGAGAGCGAGCAACAAGTTTCCCGACTGTTGGGCAACATGTTGTGTTGCTGTTGCCGTCGTGTTGCCTCAGTGTGACAAAGCCTTTAGGAATCGTGTGCTAGAAAGCACCAAGTACTCGGCTTTGATGTGGTAAGTCAACTAAGAGATATGCATAAAAACTTAGCTAAAGAGCAGCCCAGTTTCACCTGGTCGAAACACACAAATGCCTAAAGACTCCTTTAAAAAAAAAAAAAAAAAATCACGACCTATAATGAACACAGTAGGACATCGCTGCCTATCCTATGTTTTTGCATTACAGTCACTCATTTATTTTTAGAATTTTATACGAGGTATAGGTTGTCACAGGAACATCAGACAATTACACATATATATATATATATATATATATATATATATATATATATATATATATATATATATATATATATATATATATATATATATATATATATATAACGGGCATGGTGGTGGGAGGCCGAAGGCGTGGGTATATAACTGAGAAGAAAAAAACCCTTAGTGAAAACAGCAACAACAGACGATTTAATCTTCGACGTTTCGGCCGGAGTCCGGCCTTCGTCAGGAAGACGAAGATATATATATATATATTTATTTATTTATTTTTTTTGGTCAATACAGTGCTTGCTTGCGCGCTCCGTATCCTTCCGAGGAAGTGCGTTTTTCCTAACACGTAGATGCGCTGCGGCAAAGCAAGATACACAAAATCGCGTTGTCAATGTTGCAGGGGTCGCACCTCCGCATCGCACCCGTGTCTTTGAAAAGAGAACTGAGCGGAGCAAATGAATAACGAAGCTTCCGACTACTCTCAGTGTTCGTTACAAGGGTCGAATATTTACGTTATTACAATGTTATTTATAATCGAGAGTTCCGAGCAGATTACCAGGTGGAGATTGTGACTTCCACAATGTTTCTTACGCATTGTCTTATAGCTGAAAAATGGGTATCACAATTTACAAGTAGAGATAAGTAATTTAGTTTGCGCAGGGAAACTTTCGGAGCACTAACCCGGCAGGTAAAATTTGGTACCCGCCAATACCCTGTAAAAAAAGCAAAAAAAAAAAAAGAAAAAAAATCACCGATGTCGTCTTTGTTTCATCAACTGTATCGCGCACTGTTGTACATTTTTATACGTGTTCATTCGATAGAAACAAAATAACACCCGGAGTATACAGGGGAGACATGGGAAGTAAAACCAGCACCTGCACGAGCACGCGGTTGCATCATCGAACCGGCGTCTCCAAATAGTCGGCGCCGACACTCGTACGGAACACTAGCCCGTAATGACGACCCAAGCCGATCACAGGCAAAAAAATGCAGGTGCTCACTGTTACGCCACGGGATTAGCCGTGCTTGATCCCCTCGCTCTGTGTTTGCGGACCGGCGGGGTCTTTGGAGCGAGCCGACGAGGGAGGGGTGCTTAAAAACCCATCTCAGCATCGGGGGCCCATTTCGACTCGTGTTCCTGGTTAGTCCGCCAGGGGCGCACGTGCGGCTGTCCCGGCCGGGCAACACTGGTGGGGGAGCAGCAGGTGCGCTCCTGATTGGTCGCGCCGGCGATGACGTCGACGTCGGTGGTGTCGATGACGCTGCGTCCTTTTATGCCCAGGCTTCCGGCGTCCGCGCCGATTCGCCGCACGTAATTAAGATCGCGGCTGCCGTCTCACTACGAAAGCGGCGTCCGGATACGCTACGCCTTTTTTTCTCTTTTTGCTTTTTTGATTCGTAGCGGGAGAGCTTACACAGCTGCGGTTTGCTCGCTGGGTTGGTTGGTGCCACTCTCTCCCTGGCTTATTTTACTTTTTGTTTCATTACTTTCTTCGGTCTTGGTGCGTCGCAAACCTGTGAATGGGACTGATAGAAGGTTAAAAGAGGGGGGAATTGGATTGTGTCTTCTTTTTTGTCTTTACGTTTTGGATTTCGACTTTGGGTGCGCGGCAGGTTCGGGCCCCGAGGCAGCTCGGCGTTT